GGGCTTAGGTCTGTGCCTTGAACCATGCCACTCTGCAGGATGTGGGAGACTGGCAGACAGGCTGTGCCACTGGAGACTGTATTGTACCATGGGGCCCATTTCTGCAGATTCCTTGGATGTTCTGGGGCATTGCCGGGAATGTGTTTTCATGCCTAAGTTTACTCTCTGTGGTCCCCCAGCACAGAGTGTCAACACAGAGCACTACTGTGCAGAGAAGATAAAAATTTTCATTTTAAGTGAAATGACTCCTCATATTTGGAGCCAAGTTTATAGATCAAATTCTGTTAGTGACACCAACTATCTGCTTAAATTCTGGTCTTTAAGATGGAATTTTGTGATATCAAACACTGCATGGAATAAGTTGAATTTAATAGGGATTTTGAAATCCTCTTGCTCCTTGGAAATTTTGGTCACAACTATTTCTGGTAGGAGACCTATATAACCTCTGTCCTGTCCTGTTCACTTTCCAGATTGTTAAAACACACAAAGACACACACACACACACACACACACACACGTTTTAAAAAAAGGTTTGTGTTGCTTTTTGAAAAGTTTCTAGACGGCTTACATTTCACAGTAATCTAAATAATTATATGGAGCACTGTCCCCTGAATTGTGGGATCTGAATCCACAGATCTCCATCCTCTGACAGGCAGGGATGAATCTGAACTTGGCAGGTGCCATTAACAAGCTGGCACCTTGCAGTGGGGTGGGTAGCAGGGATCAGCCAGCCAGGATCTCCTGCTTCTAGCCCTCCTGTGGGCATTAGGTATCTGTCCTAAACAGCATGTGCATACTCTGTCCAAAGGATCTAAATCTGTGCCTCAAACATTTCCATTTGCCCAGTTGTAAGGGAGCACAAGGGGGCAGTGGCTCATCTACTCCCTTGTCATTGTACGCAGGGCAGTTTTCAGACTCTCTGCCTCCACCTCCCCTCCATGAAATGACAGGGTAGAGCCAGCCGATGAGGTGATATCTCACATTCCTCCAGCTCTCAGATCAGTTCTCCCACCTTTAAGCACAGTTTTTGGTCCAAATCCTGGTTCCCCTGTTGTGGGACTTTGGGTACTTATCTTGATATCTCTGAGGCTCAGTTTTCTCATCTGTAAAATGGGCATAATACCTTCCTCCCCAAGTTGTGTGGATTATATACATTCAGGACCTGGTACAGTTCATAGCAGGCTCTTGGCACTTGGTTGTATACTATTACTAGTATATTATAGATCTCTTAAACCATTTCTACATTTGTTTTTAAAACTGCTCTCTCTAAACCTACAACGGTAATACCATGGGAACAGTTTTATTTTTTAACTTAAAGACCACCCTTAGTATGTGTGTCCCTTAAATTTTCCCAGCCCTGAGAACTCCAGTTTAGTCCTGAGGCCTCCCGAGGGCCCCTCAGATTTGGGGCCGCCCAGCGGGAAGCACTGCCTGCAAGCTGGAGGATGAACCGGCTCGTCCGTCTGCTTTTAGTGCTGGTCCCACAAGTGATGCCGTCGCGGATTCCGAGCCTCTAAAACTCCCCTGCCGGCCTTCCCTGCATACATTAGCCTTAATGTATTCTCTCTTGAATACTCATCATATTAAGGCTCCCGGTAGATACCTTGCTCGAAATAAATTTTATGGGCATACATCCTCGCTCTCATCCCCATGCATCTGCAGCCAGGAGGAGAAATATAGCCGTATTTTTGCTCCGAGGCGAGGCCAAGCAAGGATTTGGTGGGAACAGGCGGCCGGGCCGGAGCCCAACGCGGCGCAGGGAGGGACGGGCTCGCGCTCCGCCCTGCGCACGGCCCCGCGCCGAGGGGACGCGTCTCCCTCCGGGCCCCCTAGAGTTAACTTGCCTCCGCCTGCCTGGTCCCCGACTCCTTAGGACTCTGCCGTGGGCTCACACCAAGACACGTCACCGGGCCGATGCCCTCGCCGCGGTGCGCGGCTGGCGGGCGTGAGGCCGGTGCGCACAGGGGCTGTGCTCTGCCCCGTTTGTCCGCAAACCGCTTCCTAGCGGCGAGGGCTTCCTGGGCAGGCCTTCCTTCCCCTGCCTTGCAGGGTGATGCCAGTAGCCTAAAGCAATCTTCCTGGACACCTCCTTCCTCAGGCCCTGGCTCAGCAGCTGCCCCGACCCCACCCGCCCACTCGCACTGACCCGCTGTGCCCCTCTGTGCCCGCCATCCCGCTCACCCTCACCCCGGGGCTGCACTTGTCACTTCACAGAACCTCCTGGCTGCCCACCCCTCCCTCCTCATAATCTCCCTTCTGCTTATCCCAGTCTCTGGGTTGGTAAGGCCCCTGCTGAGGGAGCCCTCCCAGCCCCCAGGAGTGCCAGTCCTTGATCCTGGGAGGAGGCAGGGGCGTGGTGAGCGAGCACCCACCCGCAGGCAGACAGGTGTGCCCTGAGCTGTGGCAAGTTGCTGTGTGACGTGGGCCCTCTCTGAGCCTCCACTTGAGGATCAGGACATCTGTGCAGGGATTCAACTGAGATCAAGCCTTGGACATGGGGCCCTAACTTTCCCTTTGTTCAGCCAGGGCAGCACTACATCTATCTTACCTTATCTCCAAATAATAGCAACCCGGTACTGAGCACCTGTATACTGGGCCGTGTCCTGCATGTACCAGTTTGTTTACTCTGCCCAACAAACCTACCAGGTACTATTGTAATTACTCCAACCTCCACACACACACACCCTCCATTTTTTACAAGTGACAAAACAGAGGCAGAGAGAGGTGACATAATTTGTTCAAGGTTAAAACGGAGAGACAGGATTCCAACCCAGGCAGTCTGCCTCCAGGATCCATGGTCTCACCCTGATGCCTACCTGTTCCCCTTATTCAATGGAAATTCCTGTAGCCTTTGTGCTCTGCGCAGCACTCTGCTGGCATGTTGGAACTCCTTTGTAAGTACTTAGTGGTTGAACAGTTTGTCAAGGAGGAAGCCATTTGAGGTAGAAAAAAATCCCGTATGCACTGGGCCAGACCTACACGTATCTACCTCATGATAATTTTCTGGTAGTTTTCATGGGCTATTTTGGTCTAAGCGTGGGGTCAAAGGGCAAGGCATCTGATGGGTCTGAATTTCAGGCAAATATTAGTGGCTGCCAAGGCCACCAAGGGATTAGGCTGGGGTTGGGGCTTAATGGACAAGATGAAACACTTGTGTGTGCAGAGCCAGGGATGATGTTTAGTGTGTGTCCCTGTAGTCGGTTTATGTTTCCGACTTAATACTTGAGAAAGCTTTCTCTCTACATAGGTTTAGATGTGTTCAATTCTTTCTTCCCAACCAGTGCTTTGAGGCCAATTCCCTTATGTTGACACTTTAAAATTATATCACAACCAACGAACATGATATGAATCAAGAAATATGTATGATTCATGAGATTTGTTTTTAATACTTCTGTTGACATTTTGGACTGTGCAGGAGAAATTAGTGAAGTGTTTCAAGGTGACCTTCTTAGGATTTGATCAATTATTTATTTGGTGATAAACATCCATGGGGCTACTCTTGTGTGTCAGGCACTGTGCTAGGCAGTGAGGACACAAAGCTCAAAAAGAAACATGATTCTGTGCCTTGAGGATCACACTTCCTAATGGGATAGATAGTGTGTAAACAGTCAGCCAAAGTGCTACTTATAACAAAGGTGAGAATCCCCAATGCCTACCTGTCCCCATTTATTCAGTAGAAATTCCCATAGCCTTTGTGTGCCTAGCAGCACTTGGCTGGCATGCTGGGACTCCTGATGCCAACCTCCTGATGTGCTGTATCTGGAGGCTACTGCAGGAGGCCAGATGCTTGCACTTCCATGTTTTTGTTCTTAATATTTGTTGCCTTCCCTTTTTTGGGGAAAAGTACAAGGGAAAATGGCTAGAGATGCTAGCATTATTTGCTCATCCATCCAAGCCTGACCATTTTGTAGACTTTGAAACTACTTCAGTGACTCAAAATATTATCAAACTCTTGAGCAATCCCTTGGTAAAAATGGGCTGGCTGAGAAACAGACCTTGGATAGGAAGTCACCTGGACAGGAAGAAGGTGGGGGCAGTGGTTAGAGTTCAATGGCAGACAACAGAATCCACTTCACTGTTTAAGTGGAAAATCATTGATTCCCAGGTTTTAGGTGGCTTTCAGCTCAGTGGAGCCAGCTCCGGGTCAAACTTCCAGGAGTAACTCCTAGCCCTGAGAATTTCACTGCCTCTGCCATGACTGATCAAGACATTGCAAACACAGAAGCTCCACATTGGTTTAGTGGACGCCTGCTTTTTCTCCATTTAACTCAGTTTTGAATTCAGGTCTTTCTAAGTGCATCTGTTTGGCAGATTTGAAATCACACTCAGCCCAAGCTGCAAGGGAGTCTGGAAAAGCAGTTTCTAGTTTTCCTGTCTGCAGTGCAGGGAGGCACATTAGGAGGGGATCTGATGGAGCCAATCCATGCTATCTGCTGTAATTCCCTAAAATACTGAGATTGTCTCAAAATACTGAGATTCTGTCTCTCCAGGAACACCCAGGGGTATTGACTTCAGTCACTACCCACCTCCTACACATATCATTTGCTTTTTAGGCCAGATGGCCTCTCAGTCCATGCCTAGGCAGGGCTCACACTGGGAGATGATGTTTTTAGCACAGATTCCATCCAGTAGTGAAGATGTCATGGGAACAGAAGTGTGTTGTTGGGCCTTCCTGGCTATGGGCTGTGGAACTGCAGCTAGTGTAAGTGGGTTAGTTGATGTTACTAGCCTTGTGGTGCTCTTAGAAACAGGTGACCCCTCTGGGCCAGAGCCACATAAAGCCAGGCCAAAAAAGCATGGATTGAATTTCAGTTCCCACCTGCCCCCTTGACCAGGCACTGTTGCTCAGTGTACAGCCTGCACAGCCTTACGTGGCAGCCCTGGGGGTTTGGGTTATGTCCTTTCCCCCATGGCAGAATGAGAAGGCATCCACACACAGCCTGGTCTGGTTAGCGGTGCTGTGCGGATGGGTCATGCTGCCTGTCTTCCTCTTCCCACAGAGATCCCTCAGTGCGCTGGCTGCAACCAGCATATCCTGGACAAGTTCATCCTGAAGGTCCTGGACAGACACTGGCACAGCTCCTGCCTCAAGTGTGCAGACTGCCAGATGCAGCTGGCTGACAGGTGCTTCTCCAGGGCGGGGAGTGTCTACTGCAAGGAAGACTTCTTCAAGTAAGTCAGAACCCGGGCCCACTGCCCTCTGCTTGCCCTGGTCTGCCTCTGCCTCTCCCAGTGCAGAGGTGGGGGTGGGGGAGGACCGAGGGTCCTCCCTGGGGGCAGGTGATTTCTGCTGCTGAGAGACTGCCCCCCTTCTGATCGCTGGCCCCATCATTGCCTGGTCCCAGGGCCTCAGGTTCACTTGAGCTCTGCAAAGGGCAGGGGTGGGGAGCCAGCAGAGTGCATGAGCCAGATTTCATGAGGGTGGCTGATGAGGGGTCCCTGCCAATCTTAAAAGAGGTTGCTCTTTCTATCTTGGTGAGTTGGTGCCTCTAGGCATGTGACTCTATCGTTACTGTGGCTTTCAGAGCAGGTGCTTTGAGGTTTGTACCTGGAATTTAGATTCTGTGGCTGTGTTTCTTCAAGCCACTTTAAGAGCCTTAGAGGCTTGGAAGAGTGCTCCTGGTAGGGGTCAAGCCACACGCAAATCAGTCATTGCTTTCAGTGGAAACATGACAGAGGCGGTTTCATGTGATGGAGAGGAGCCCAGACCCTGATGGGGTTTGAACCCACTTACTAGCTGTGTGTTCTTGGGCAAGTGACTTAACTTCTCTGTGCCTCAGTTTGCTTATCTTTAAAATGGGGTTGATAATAGTTGCTAGCTCATAAGGTTCATACTAGCCTTGAAGAGTCAATTTGTGTAAAGTCCTTAGGACAGTGTCTAGCATTGCATGTTAGCTTTTAAGAATGTTCTTAATTTTTCATTCTTGGATTGCATCCTTCAGAAAAAATCCTGTTGGAGCTTAGGGTCAGTGTGAGAGAACCTCCTAGAATTTATCTTCCATGACATTTAGGCTGGGACTTCCTCTGCAGAATCTATTATCCAAGGCACTCACTTGGGCTGGTGCCTCAGCCGGGGTGGACCAGCTGGTGACAGCAAAGCCGAGAACAGGAGTCGGGGGTGCGGGGGGTGATCTGTCAGTGACACCGGGCCCAGTGTGGGTGGCCCACGGAGATGCACCAAGGAGGGTAGGACTGCCAGGGGCACTGGGTAAGGCCTGGAAACCTTTGGTGTGAATGAATAAACCCCCGAGAGGTGGTGTGCATCCTTCAGAGATTGTGTATTCTGCAGACAGAGGAGAACTGGGGAGAAATGCCAGTCCTGGATACAGAACATAATGTTTCCCAAATCCCCCCAAAGGTTTAACTCCAGGGAATAAGTGACTTGAGTTTCTGAGGATTCCCGAATTTCTTTAGACCAATATGAGTGTGTGCTACCTGGGGGCAGGGCAGTAACTGCTACAGGCGCCCCCAACCAGTCCTTGGTGGCCCCCACTGTGGGGGTGGGGGGCTCTGGTCCTTCCTGCCTTTTCTGTACTGCTCCCCTTTCTCCAAGTCTTCCTTTGCTTCCCCCACCTCTGCCCCTCACCTTGTTTCCTGTGCTCTGGCGTTTCCACAATCCTGTCCCCTACCCCACATCCTTTCTCTGTGGGTGACAGGTTTGCCTCTACCCTCCTTCCTCCCTGGCTGAGCAGCCTGGCAGTTCTCATAAACCCCTGGACAGGGGGCATTTCCCCGTGTGTGCACGTCCACCTGTGAACATGAGCATGTGTGGAAGGAGGGGCAAGAGGAAGCAGCGGGTGGGCCTGGCTTTGGAGGATGGGTGAGCACTCCCTGCTTCCAAGATCAGCACGCTGTCCTCCAGTTTGTCCCTGTTCCCTTGGAAAGCCTGGGTGAGCTCCGGGGGGAGGCAAGAGGCCACACTGCCTTCTTGCCCATCTGCGGGCAGGGTGAGTGCTGAGATGTCCCTGGGTAAGACATCTGGCTGGGGTTCGGGCAAAGCCCACCTGGGTCACAGACCTAGAGCTCTGTCACCAGACATGTTACTTTGAGTCCCAGCGTAGTCCCAGGGCTCTGTCGGGTGTTTGGACATTGGCTGGTTGGCTCTGCTCTGGGTTTGGGAAGGGGGCAGTAGTAGCAGCTTGGGTGCGGATCTGGGTTTGGGAGAAGCAATGATGACAGAGGGACCTCTAGACTCAGGAGGGCCCAGAGGAGGGATGAGGGAGGGATCAGCATGGGCCCGTGAGCTGTAAGCCCCCGACCAGAAGTAACAGGGACAGTTCCTAACCCAGGCAGCACCCCGGCCCCTGCCTACACGGCCTCCCTGTGCCGTGGTCCTCATTTGGATGCTTCCAGGGCCTTGCTCAGCAGTAACCTCCTGACTAACCTCCCATTGCTCTAGCCCTACGCACCTCCCCACCAGACCACAGTCCTACCTCACAGCTCAGGACCTGACCACCCCCTCCTTCAGCAGGATCCTCTCTGCCTACAGAATATTCTGGATGCATTGTGCCATCACAGCCTTCTGCCCTCCCTTCCATGGCCTGCTCATGGCCTTCTTTGGGTAACCAAAGCCCCCCAGCATGGCAGCCCCTTTCCAGGCATGCTCTGCACTTTCCCACTCCACACTCTGCCCCTCACTATTTCATCCTGCAGGCATGATGCCCACCCCCTCGGGGGCCCCCATCCTTCATGACCATGAGTCCAGCTCCTCGGTGGGTGGGAGCCCCACAGAGACATGGCCACCCTGCCCCTTCTCTCTCCTGGTGACTCTGTGTGACTTGCCTTGTCTTGCTTGTTCCTCACGCACCTGCTTGATCTTCCTAGTTGGCTTGTGGGAAGGCAAATTAGTGGTTTATTTGTCTGTGCCCGGCATTCACACCTGGCCCTGACCCATGGGCCATCGATAGGTTTGATGCTGCAAAGACTAGATTTTGTAGTCAATTAACCACATGCTTTGGTGACCCATTTCTTCCGTACCTCACACAAGTGTCCTGTGAGTCATGAGGCTCAGGCTGCCTGGGAAACACACAGGCCTGTTATTTAGCCAGTTATTCTTGTTCCAATGGACTGCTCTGCTTCCAAAAATGACCCTATCTCAGGGCTGGATCCTTCTGTAAAGCAGGGAAGCTGTCCACAGATTCAGTGCTGAATCCAGATCATTAACTCTGAGGTCAGGTGCTGTGCGGAGAGAAATGGAAAGCTGAAGGGCTTCTCCCACTGCCAACGGAAGACATGGAGATCAGTCAGCTCAGAAGCCCCCTGGGAGGACACTTGGCTTTGCAGGCAATTTGGGACCCTGGGTGTTTGGTACAGGAAAGTGAGGCCGCTGGCGCAGTTTGGTAAAGAAGTCCAAGTCCCAGGGGCCAGGAGGGAGTTGTTCAGGTCAGAGCAGCTGCACGCCCCACTCCCACGGGTCTGGGACTCATTGCCCGCTTGGGGATCAGGCTGTGACCATGGTCGCAGAGCTGGGCTATCTGCTCCATTGCACCTCACTTAATATCCCTAGACATGCTCAGGTGGCACCCTGGGACGTGTGCAGGGAGGTGGCACTGTGAGCTGAGAGAATATGAGACAGAGCAGGAGGGGCGGAGCAGTCCCCCAGGTCACACTGGGCTGCAGGAGCCGCTGCTGGCAGCCTTGTGAGAGGGAAGGTAGGTGCCATGCCCTTGAATTCCCCGTCAGACCTCAATTTGTTTCCAGCTCTGGGATTTGGAAGATGCCTGGCCAGACCAGGGAGAATCTCTTCTCTGTGCTCCTTGAAAAAGAAGAAAAACACGAAAGAGAACAATCATTGTCCTTTTCTGATACCTGCCTCACAGTTCTGCTCAGAGACAGGGAAGGATTCACTGACCTTACTGATCAGCGCTGTGGTCCTGCATTCCAAGATCAATATTTTAAATCTCTGTCCATAGCAGAGGCAGGGCCATTGCTTTGCACAACTGCATGGTGTCCTTTATCCTGTGTCCTTTATCCTGTGTGAACTTTTGCGAATCAAGATTGTATGTGAAGAGTGCTCTTCTGACGGTGGGTCATCCCTCCGAAGTCAGGGAGGACCTGAGGGAAAGCTGGAGGTCCGCCCTCTGCAGCTGTGCCCTGAGGAGATGAGGTAGTTCTGGTGCCTGGCAGCAGAGGGCAATGCTGGCGTGTGCACAGACAAAGCAGTATTGTTGGAAGGCTGTACTCTGTGGTTGTTGCCTTTTTCTTCAGGGGCTGTTGACCTTGGTCTTGCTCAGGGACATTGTTGTTTGTTGTTCTTGTCTCTTGGGTTCTCCATTCCTCTTTCTGCAAAGGAAATAAAATTCTAGGGCCCAAGAGGAGAGGCACTGAGGTGACTTAATGCAGCACAGTTCTGAGGCGACTACAGGCTGGTGGCAGGCCACAGGGCCAGCAGTGCCTTGTGTTGCATGTGCTGAGCAAGCGCTCTCTGGACCATGCGTCCAGGTCTCCCACCTCCTTGCAGAGGGACTGGGGCCTGGGGAAAGCGGGGGTCTGGGAGGAGGACTTCTGGGTCTCTTCCTCCCCAGTGACGGGGGCCTGGGAGGAGCTCAGCAGTTCCGTTACTCTGAAGTGCAGTGAAGACAGGACAGGTTCTCTGCTTCAGGAAAGGGTTCAGGTACCAGCTCTGTCAGCACAGGCTGGGTGCCCTTTGGCTAGTTCCTTAACATCTCTGAGCTCCAGTGTCCTCTTCAGGAAAAACGGAATGCTACTACTGCCTGCTTCAGAAGGCCTAGCACACAGGAGCACTTCACAGAAAGGAGTCATCTTATGATGAGAGTGGTTTGCCGAACCCAAATGGAGGTTAACTGAATTCCTCATCTACCTTTTATTAGTTGCAGTGAACGTGTGATTAGGCCTTTATGAGCACTATTCTTTATCTGTTTCAAGATGCTTGTTCATTCTGACCCAGAGTTGTTGTGAAAAGGGAAGAAGATAGTAACCAAACTGTGCCCAGCACTTTGCTAGGTGCCTTATCAATATTTCTGGCTTTCCAGCCCTGACGTGTGGCCCTTTGACCCGCAGTGCCGGGGCGCCGGGCCCTCCCCGCTCTCCTCGGGGCAGGGTCTGTGCTCACCTCTCCTGGTCTTCCAGCCCTTTCCTTCCCCCCCAGCTTTGTGAGCTTCGCCTTGAGGGGATACTTTGCATCTTAGGACTCCTCAGGTGAGGTGGGGGTA